CCCTCGGCCCCGCCCGCTGCTGTGCTGCCGCCGCCGCCGCTGCTCTGGCCTGGGCTTTCGGAGAGCGGCGAGGGGCTAGAGGAGGAGGGAGGAAATGGGTGTAGCGAGCTGGGAGAAGGGAATCGCCTCTCGCCGAGCTTATTTTTAGAGCCTGCTGCTTCCTCCAGACAAATAAAGCCGCCTCCTCCTCTTCTGCCGGGATGAGGGGGTGCGCGCGCCCTCCCTTCCTCCCGAGGTAAATATTCCGTCCAGGGTTAGTTCTCCTCTCCCTTCTGAGCAAGGCTTCACTCAGCAGCGCTCCCCCCGTTTCCTTCCTCTTTTTTTTTTTTTAAGGACCCCTTTTTGTGCGTAGCTTGGCTGTGCCGCCGCGTCCGCTCTTCTGCTGCGGCGGCGCTGCCGTTGCTCCTACTGTTGGGGCCTCTTCTCTTTTATGCCTTCCCGGCCTGCATAGAGAAGTGAAGTCAGTAGAATCCGCGCTCGCCTGGTTGGGAAAGGCGGAAGGGAGGATGCATAGGAAAGCACACAAAGGAATGGCAGCTTTCCCCAACCTGGCGCTCTCCAGAAGTGGACTACAAATCCCATTGTCCCCTCCTACAGTTGTGTGAGCTGCGGGCCATTACCCTGGACAGGCACCAGATTGCCGGTAGCCAGGGTAGAAGACTGTAAATATGCATCCTCCTTAACTCACTGGTCAGTTAATTGGACTTCAAGAAAACATATTGCAAACAAGGTTTTAAAAGCATATTCTCCAAAGTGTGATGGACTATTTGTATGTCATTACATTTATACGCTTTTGGCTTTGAAGATTGACTTGGAATTGAATGGGCAATGTGTGATCAAATATATACCTGTAGAATTCTGGTTGTTAGGGTACAGAATTTTCAATTATTTTGGAAGACACTTTTATTTTATTCTGATTTAGGCTATTATTAAAGAACTGTACATACTGTGCGTACCCTGAAGAAAAGTGTAGTTATCTGCTTTGCAGAGTTTATCCAGACTATACAGTGTAAGTGAGGAAACAGAAGCTTCCTGCTGTGAAACAGAGTACTGTAAGAACATTGCAAAGAATCAAATAAGGTCAAAATTAATTAGCCATAAACAAAATGTTCCTTTAAATCCAGCATTTTTCTCTATTATGTTTTTTATTCATATAAAATATGTGCTTAGAATTGTGATATCATGCCCAATTTTCTGCAAATAAATGTGGTACATTTATTTATTATATTTTTTATACCACCACACTCTACATAGAATCGTGGTGCTGTACTGTACAATACATGGGAACGGTTTGAACCTGTTGGGCCTGAGGAAGTGGACAGGGTCCTTGGGGCTGTGAGCTCAGCCAGCTGCTCTTTAGATCCATGCCCCTCCTGGCTGGTTAAAGCAGCCCCGGGGTGGGGGGAGTGTCATGTGAGTAAGTTCTAGCAATGGTTAACACTTCTTTGAATGAGGAGGTTGTTTCCTCACCTTGTAAAGAGGCTTTGGTTTGCCCCCTCCTCAAGAGGCCATCACTAGACCCCACTATACTGGACAATTTTCATCCAGTATCTAACCACCCTTTTTTGGGGAAGGTGATTGAGAAGATGGTTGCACAACAGCTTCAGAGGACCTTGGATTAAGTGGATTATCTGGATCCCTTTCATTCGGGATTCAGGACTGAGTATGGGACAGCATTGGTCATGCTTTTGGATGATCTCTGGCAAGGCAGGATGGAGGTTGTGCATCCATCCTTGCCCTACTTGACCTCTCTGCGGCCTTTGATACCATCAACTATGGTATCCTTCTGGATTGGCTCAGAGGATTGGGGGTGGGCGGCACTGTGTTGTGCTGGTTCACCTCCTTCCTCCGGGGCCAATTTGAGTCAGTGGTGGTTGGGGAGGAGAGATCCTGCCCTTGGCCTCTGTTATGTGGGGTGCCACAGGGTTTAGTACTCTCCCCCCTCCTATTTAACATCTATATGAGGCCGCTGAGTGAGCTCATCCGTCATCCAATTACACACCTCTGCCCCTAGTGAATTAAGGGATGCTGTGAATGTCTTATCCCAGTACCTGGAGGCTGTGAGGGTCTGGATGGGGAAAAACAGGCTTCAGCTGAACCCTGGCAAGACTGAGTGGCTTTGGGTTTTGGGGCCTTCTGGTGCTGGGGCTGTGCCATCTTTGGTAGTGGATGGGATCACACTACCCCTGACCCTGTGTGCAATCCGGGGGTCCTCCTGGACTCACAACTCCTGCTCAAAGAGCAGGTGGCAGTTGTGGCTAGGAGGGCCTTTGCACAGCTTTGTGTTGTGCACCAGTTGTGCCCATTCCTAGAATGGAAGGCTGTACTCACTGTCACTAATGCCCTGGTCACCTCCCATTTGGATTTCTGCAATGCACTCTACATGGGGCTGCCCCTGAGGAATATCCGGAAGCTTCAGTGGTGCAAAATGCGGTGGCACGAGCAGTTATATGTGCACCTAGGGCAGTACATGTTACACCTCTGCTCCGCGAGCTGCATTGGGTGCCAGTTTGTTTCCAGTCCAATTCAAGGTGCTGGTTTTGACCTTTAAAGTCCTTCATGACATGGGGCCGGTTATCTGAGGGACCGCCTCTCCCCAATTACATTTGCCCATCCCACCAAGTCTGGTAGAGAAGGCATGCTGCAGGTCCCATCTGCCAGGAAATTACATTTGGTGGGTCCCAGGACACGGGCTTTCTCTGCTATGGCACCTGCCTTGTGGAATCTTCTCCCCCCAGAAGTGAGATTAGCTCCATCATGCTCAACATTCTACAAATCCCTCAGGACCTGGCTATATGATCAGGCCTGGGGGTCCCAGGGGACCAGGGAGATTTTGCAATGGCTCCCTTATTAATTTTATCCCCTCCTGTTTGCTGTGCTTTTATAGTTATTTTTACTTGTAATTGTTTTTTACATATTTATTCTTTTTAATTGTACATCACCCAGAGTCACTTTTATGTGAGATGAATGGCTATATAAATACAATAAATAAAAATAAAAACTCAAAGTAGTCATAAAAATATCAAAATAAAAGCAAATATAGTAATACACTAACAACAATCTTTTAAATATTTTATTGTCATATAATATAGCAGGCATCCCAATGACATATATTAACCTTTCTGAACAGCTTTATTTTGATGGCTTTTCTGCAATTCAGAAGTAATGGTGCCATCCAGATTTCTGGTAGGAGCCTATTCCGTAGCATAGGCACCATTATAGAAAAACCTACATTTCTTGCTCTCGCCTAGATGTCTCATGTGGAAGGAACCCTTAGCATTCTTACCAGGATGTCCAAATGGGGTGGGTAGGATCCATTGGAAGCAGATGGTCCTGTGGGTACTAGGGGCCAAGCAATATAGAGTTTTGTAGGTCAAAACCAGCACTTTGAATGGTAACTGGGATCCCACTGGTTGGCAATGCAGAACCCCCAACATTGATGCCATGTATAAATAATGGCACCATCCACTATCAAGCAAGCTGCTGCATCTGGGGCCAGTTGCGTTTCTGAGTACCCTTCAAAAGCATTTCCATGTAGAGTGCATTGCAACAAATTGGAATGCACTCTACATCTAATTGGAAGATGATAGGGATGTGAATCAAGATTGCCCAGGCGGCTGCCTCCAGGGAGGACCACAGCCAGCACACCAGGCAATTCTGGACCAGGGCCACCCCGAGCCACAGCCTCCACCTGCCTATCTAACAATAGCCATGAGTCTAGAAGGACCCCCAAGTCACAGACCGGCTCATTCATTGGGAGTGCTCCCCATCCAAAGTAACCACTGGAGTGGACAGAGAACCAGATGGTTCAGGTTAGCGAACAAACAGTAGCTCAGTCTTGTTGGGATTCAACCTCAATTTCTTTCTCCCCATACAGATCATTACAGTCTCCAGGCACTGGATTAGGACTTCCAGTGCATGTCTGGTCTGGAGATGCAGATCTGGGGTTCTGATTGTGATCTTCATCACAAACTGATAGATGACTTCTCCCAGCAGTTTGTGTATATGTTAAACATCAGAGGAGAGAGAGAACCTTGTGCCACCCAACCTTGGAGCAATCAGTGGGTTAATTTCTTCTCCTCCATACTTATTGACTGGATCTGCCCACTCAGGAAGGAGCAAAACCACTGCAAAACCATGCCCTGACTCCCAGCCCTTAGGAACCAAGGCCAAATTTCAACCAAAAGTTTACTGGGTGGGGTCTTAACAGTGCATTAAACCATAATGTAGTTTGTTTGATTTTGGTACTGTAGCTTAGTCTATTCTGCACACCCAGCCAATTACAGCTTATTCAATAAGTTATTATTTAAAATAGCATGTAAACAAAGCTACTCGGAGCTTAGCAGCAAGTGATGCTCCACTATATTTGTGGCACTATATTTGTGGCAAGCAATGTTCAGAGGATGTTCCTTCACATATACCATCCTGTTGCTCTCTAGTTTAACCTTGTCCTAATTGTATGTTTTGAGCAATCAGGCTGTCATATATGAGTTCTCCAGTGCAGTCGGAGAATGAAGTAAGCACATAGCTATTTAACTGGTCAAAGAAAGTAAAATGATCAGGCAGACACAAAACAGAGGGTGCCCAAAAGCTGGCCTTTGGCTGTTTTGCAGGCAACACAGCAGCCCTGAGGAGGAGGAATAGATGAAAAAAAAATATTCCAGCTGATCCCACATTGCCAAGGCCTAAGTAGCAGGCAT